GGTACTGTTCTGTGTTATATTCAACGATGTGAACAGCTTGACAGACCTTCATCTACAAACGTTTTCCCTCATGGTTTCCCCGAAGTCGACTGCAAAATGTGCTCGAAAACTCACGCTTTCGACCTTAAATGTTGTAGTCAGGGTAGTTTGTCCTATATATTTTGCTCATATTGTTTAGTTGATTAAAAACTCTAAATCGTCCATAGGCAACTTTTGATGTTAGTCTGATATCAACAGGGCATCATTAATTGGGCTTCAGCTAGACTGGCAAACACTTATCTGTTTTTCTGACAGACGCTTTTGGAGACACTCCAGTAATTTAAGCGGTTAGACGTCGGTTCCAGCAAGATATTGGCTTAGTACTGATTACCTATCTGCCTTAAGCCGAAACTGAAGCCAAATGGTGCGCCATTTCTTTAGAGACCTGCTTATCTTTAGTCGTATTCGTAGCTCTAAACAATAGGATCTAGGAAAGCGGAAATTTGTCAGAGGTAGTCGGTGAACTTCCGGATGACAAGGGAGATTTCCGAATTCGTTGTATCGTCAGTCGCCAAAAATTAAGTTTTTTGCCTGGACTTTTTTGGATGACAGTACAATAATTTCATATTGAACTGGCTTGTGTGATACGCGCTGCTGATCAATGGGGTCAATTTACTTCAAATTATTGGTTTTCCTGCATACCCCTTAGTAACTCAATATTACATTTTAGGTTCAGATTTGCTTGTTTATTCAGATGGTGACGCTTCAACGCGAGAGCTCAAAAACATCTTGTGCTTATATACCTTAAATTTACACAGAGACATCATGGCTGTAGCCTATGTTGCAAAATTAAAGTCACATCCCATCTACAGAAATATATGGATCGCGACGAAAGCACTTTTATGTAAACGAAAATATATGGTGCAGGTGACAGCCCCCTTTAGTCCGATAACACTTTTGACACAGAGGGTCATAACTAAACAACAAAGAGAGTTCTATTGGGCTAATGAAAATATGCCCGAACAAACTCAGCACCCAGGAGAGATGGTTCTCCTTGGTGCCGAAGTTTTGTGTTTCAGAAATATCCGAAAGCGGTACAACCAGACTGATGAAAAGTTGTCGAAAACTCTTGTCAACCAGTATGGTAACTTGTGGGACTGTTTTGTCACCATTCCCATTCTTTTATCACACAGACTCGCTGAAGCTCGACGAACAGTGCCAGGCCAAGGGTTGGCCACCGCTCTCTGCTCCGCAAGCGACGGTTTGGTGCGGGCAACCCAGCTTTTGGCGCGGGGCACTTCTTCACATTTGCACAGCCAAACACTCGTTTTCTAAATGCCTCGTTACGGATTCACCGACACCAACCCACACAAGCTGGGATTCTGAGACAACGGCCTGAAGACGTCTCAGTTCCGCTGATTGAATAGGCCACGTCTCACGTCCATACTACAAAAAAGCTCGTACTATAGCCTGATATAGACGTCCCTTGGTATTTTGGGATATGTGGCCTTGAAGCCATAGGTACTTCAAATTATCAAACGCACCCCGAGCCTTGTAGATTTGCGGATTGACCTCATCTTTTACGCTTCATAATACACCCTCAAAGGTACGTATAACGTCTCACAACTTCGAGTGGCTTTCCCCGAATTGCATGTGGCGTGTTCAGTGACTGCATGCCTTTATCGGTGAAAAGCGCCTGCGGTCAGAACAGAGCTGAGGCAATCGTTCACCAATGCTTGTGTGTACCGAGTCCTAGTTGAGTCTCAGATGCGTTAAGTCTGCCCACTTGAGCATTTAGATTTCCGGCAACCGAAATGATGTCTTAGATCCTAGCTATCCACAACAGTGCATTCATGGTGTAACAAAACTTGTCTTTGTTGGTGTCATAGCTACAATCACTTGAAGGATAGGCAGACAGCGACCAACTTCCAGCTTGTGAAACTCCGTCACATAGGTTGACAACCAAACTGCACAGAGGAGACTATCAAAGAGTGTCCAGTTAACCAAGGATTCTTCCACCCGGTGACTTACGACGATACAGATATCTACACTCCATGCCGCATCAACCATAGGTGCACAGCCGAAGGCGAGTGGACAACTATGGAGCCGTTAACACAACCGTTGTGTTTACATTCCTGAATTTTTGTTTCTGCTAAACAGTGCTAATCAATGCCAAGTGAGTCTAGAATGAGAGCAAGAGCGGCTGGTTTTCTTACTTGCTTTAAAGTGCAAACATTAGAAACAGCAAATGGACTTGATGTCGATGCTTGAAGATTTATTTTGAGGTCCCTGAGGATATTGTGGCGGTTGACCCCCAGATATTGTTGTCAAAACCAATGCAAGATGGATGGTTGGCTTACAAGGGGGAAGTTATCAGCTGGATGGTGGTGGGGGACGAAAAAATATATGGAAGAAAAAGAATGGAGGCGCCAGCATCAGCTTTTTTCACTAACCCCCATTCTGTATGCAGTAAGTAAGGAGACCCGGCTGATGGCGCCACGCGAAAGTGATAAAGCATGAGCTCATTTATAAGTGTTCCGTTAGTGATTGTACATGGATTGGGTTACTCTCGGGGTGCCCTGACATAAACGGGAAGGGAACTAGGGTCCTCAACCGAAGCTTTTACCTCAGAAGCCTGAAAATAAGGCAGCGGTGTTTGGCAGGAAATGAAAGCGAATTTTAAATTCTACGGAACAAGTCGTCACACAGGTTGCAACCTCCAACCTGGAGGACCAAAAGGCTGTGTTCGCCAAACCTCTAACCATTGACCAACCTCTTTATGGGAGATTCCGTTAGTGTCGCAGGGACGCCCCCAAGCATGGTTTAATGGTTCACAGAGGCACACAAAACGTCACACCACGGTAAGGTTCAGCCTCTTTGTGACGGGTTTATACATACACGTATATATATATATATATACAACGTTTATATATTCTGTCCTGAATTTCGCTCGGAAAGGTAAATAGTGAGAAAATTTCTGGTCTTGTCTTGTGAGTTTCATGGGCTGTTTTATGAGGCCGCAATGCTTTTGAAAGGACCATTCTTCTTCTTGTTTGACTTCTAAACTTTTCTCCACCTTCGTTTAATTTGTTTGTTTGCAACCTCTCTGCTGAAATGGGTAAAGTTGAAATCTTTCAGAATACTCTCCATTTGTAACATATGCTAGTCTTCCGACACTGTCCACTAAAATATAGTTGCATTGGCCACACCTTCTTAGAAGAAGTCTCATGAGTGGTTATAACCACGCTGTGGCTACGTAATTATCGAGAGCAAAATGAATCCGTCGAGTCCTGTACGAAACGTTCAATGCATCGTAATTCGTGCTCACATTTGCGCCAGGAATAATTCCGCGCTCATTCAGACAAAGGCATCTAAATGCTTCAGTGAATGGCCTTCGTTTATGATAGAATGAAGGTGTGATTTACTCAGACAGTGTGCATTTCCTGCTCGTCCAATTACCAAGTTTAGAAAGTTGATTTCACCGACTGCTTCATCCCAGTGTTAATCGTCTTTCGATAAGAAGAGATGGGACATTGCGAGAGTATTCGCTCAAAGTCGTTCTCAAGTGGTACAACTATTTTGCTACGTTCAGATGTGCCGACGAGCCTGGTTGTTGGAAATAAGGCCTCCAACTAAAACCGTCATTTTCACATTTTTTTCACGACCATGTACGGAATTCCCCGAAATATTGTCTGAAAAATAAGCTCCAGCTTTCAACCGGAACTTAATCTAATAAACGCACAAGTGTATTGCAGTTGCCAGCCAACATGTGTCTGGTAGCTTCCTATAGCCCTGTTTATCAGAATTCCCATCCTTCTCCCTGAGAAGATACCAAAGCCATGCCTTTATTTTAGTTCGAATCGTCAGACATGGTGGTGTCTACTAGTGGCTGCTGTAGATTATTATGGTTAGATGTCTTGAAAGCCTTATTTTTCGATTTGTTAACCTTTAGACAATATTGGTCTAGTGAGACGTGATTCCGCCTTGACTACTTGCTAACACGAGTGTTTTCCTACTTTTGCCAAACCCGTATCACCAGCCACATAGTGTGACTAAAACGGTTCTGTCAGGAATACCGGACACTCATTACTTTGATCTCCTTCCTCCTCCGTCCTCCGCTGTTAAATATTGGCTTATTATGATTGGTCGTCTCATTCATGGAGCTTATTCGTAAAATGTTCTTGGGAATACTGTTTCCCCATCGAGGAAAGATTCTCGAGGCAGGCATCCATTTCACCGGTGTTACTGACACCAGTGGCAACAAGTAAACTGGACTCCAGGAGTTCTGGCCGAAATCAGCTAGGAGGGTGTTAAAAAAGTTTCACCGCCATGTGTTGTATAATATGGAATTTTTTAATTATAAAGTCAAAATAGCGTAGTAGAATAGGCTGTTTTAATCCGACGTATCGGTTGCCGTGGTCGGACTTTCTCAAGGAATTTTACAATCGATTGAATACGAGTAAAATGCAGCGACATTTGGGTATACTACCGTGTCGTCCAATTGGTGCAACCCTGTGATCTGTTGGCAGTTGGATTGGGTCAGCGTGTGTGGGGGGATGTGTACGTGTGATTGTGTGCACTCTTGCTAGGATGTGCTTCCGTTTGTCGTGATGCCTCATTTTTGATATCTTTGCCTTACATCTGGTTGCTATGCCTGCTAGTGTGTGCAATAAGTCCAATCCAGGTGGGCGGGATGCTGGCGCCATCACTCCGGTTGATGCAGTTCGGCTGTGTTGAACCTCAGGGCCTCAGCGCACGTTCGTTCCCCCATATGACTTGAGTCCTGACTGTAGTATGCGTGATTTGATGGTTTGACTCAAGTGCGTGAAGTGAAATGGCTGAATCTCGTTCTACTATGCCTGCTAGTGTGTGCAATAAGTCCAATCCAGGTGGGCGGGATGCTGGCGCCATCACTCGCTCCGGTGCAGTTCGGCTGTGTTGAACCTCAGGGCCTCAGCGCACGTTCGTTCCCCCATATGACTTGAGTCCTGACTGTAGTATGCGTGATTTGATGGTTTGACTCAAGTGCGTGAAGTGAAATGGCTGAATCTCGTTCTAGTTTTTCTCAACTTTATCGGGTTTCTTGGAGGAAGACGCACATGTCGTTTGTGCTCCGCCATCCGTACATGGAGTTGTCCAGCTGTCTGGCCTATGTATTTTGCTAGACATTCTGCACAGGGAATTTGGTAGACGCAGTTTGTACGGTGTTTCAGTTCGACTGAGTCGATGTAACGTGTTGTTGATACGGAAAAATGTTTTAACACCATATAATCCCGAAGTATTTTTTGAATGGCCTCTGGGTCACCAACTCTATAGGATATACCCAAGGTGACCATCGGGTTTTTGTCTTCCTGTTTCACCGTCCCACGGCAACCGAAACGTCGGATTGCAACAACCAATTCCACTACTCTGTGTTTTTACTTTATAACTAAAAAAACCACCCTAAAATGGACTCTATTATGAAACAGAGTCTCATTAATTATCCTTGTAGCACCATGCCTAACTAAAACTACAATCTCATCTTTTGTCTTCGGAGGTCTTTCGTTATGCCGTAGTCCACACGATAACCGTCTTTAGCCGCATGCATTCGTGGACAGATAAAACATAGAAGGCTCTTGTAGACGTCACTCAAGTGGGACAGGAACTGTTACGTGGTTCGAGTGTTTGTGACGCGTGATCTAGTGAGTGACCTCTACACTCTCAGTGACCGTGTTTCTTTGCTAAAATCCGATTAAATACTGCTAGAGTACGAAATGATCAGTAATGATAAAGGTTACGAAAATATTTGAAAATAATCAAGGAGCCGTGAATGCGGTGCTGCCATCTAATTCAAACCGATAATACACCTAACTGATCAGGCCGGTTTTAATCCACTCACCAAGCCTGGCAACTGACATCTCGTCACCACTCGACGAGAATCATCAGTGCGTTGTTTAGGTGGGTTGGAACGTCTGAGTGGTGCGTGTGTGGCGTGCTTTCATCACAATATAGATGTCCCGGGTTTAAATTTAGGCACCATAAAACATAACTAACGCCGATGGGTGCAGCAGCAATTAACCTCAATTCCAGGAATAATAATTTCAAGGACAAGAATAATAAATTAAAGGGAAAGACAGCCAGTCTTTTATTATTCACTGAATGGCTGTCATTATGAGAAATAAGCCGTAGCGGTAAGGTTCACAACATTTCTTATTGGTTAAATGACCTGTTTTCTGGCTTTGAAATTTATGCATCTCTGCCCGATGCAGCCATTGGTAGTCTCCCTCTTTTGCTTTGCCCAAGTCATCCGCCCAGCAAGGTTCTAGATCACACAGTCTAAGTAATTTTGAAATTTACTCACTTGGTATAGTGTTACAGACATTTCTTGCCTTACTCTCACTGGCTTCCCTGCTCTCATGTCCTCGTCCAGTCTTTTCAACGCTCGTTGAGGACATTTTAGGCCTAGTCTTTATCGCCTATTTAGTGTGAGAACAAACAGTTCCTGTTTTTCACGTTGTAAAAACTAAACCCAAGGACTCCACTCTGTGGTGTAGATTAGATGGAACAACCCGGACGGGAGGGGGGCCTCGAAACGAGTTGGATGTGGACTCCCCAGTCGGCAAAGCCGATCAACAACCACTTCCTACGGCCTCCAGAAATTGGCCTTCTATAGCACCGTTCGCTGGATTTCCATTTTCCGCCATCCAAACCAAGTTGCTGTCTTTAATCCAGTGCCTTGTGTTATTTGCTAGGCTGATCATTGATTCCACCCACTCCAGCCATTTGTTTTCTGTTTTTGACAAAAAAAAAACAGGTTAACACAACCGTAATCCAACAAGTTTGAAACATTGAAAAGGGCAGCAGGTCTCATGAATATATCGGATCCAGGGGAAATAATGCCACCCTATTTAACACGACAGTGCGAAAAACAAGGAGTCCATTTAGAACGTTGACCAGTGGGAGGAATTCGTGAAATGATGCACCCTATTTTTGGCCGTTTGTGCGGTTGAGTGAATTTGCAGAAATGAGTTATGGTATTCTCTTATGGTCACAAAAAATTGTGTAGGCACTTTCATGTGTACACCAACTTGACTAGTGGACCAACCTTATTTTGAATCGAACTCAAAGTAGACACTGCTGACAATATCTCCAAGATTGGTTACTGTCAAGCTCCGTCTAATAAACCGACAAGCAAGGCATCAACTCACTCCTTCGAGTGAAATTTCAACTTTCATAAGATGGGATATTTTGAAAGACGCAATATGGACGAACCAACTGGTGGTCTGGATGGATGATTTTCTTAATTTTTCTCTGTAACGTAATTGTTTTGCTGCAGGTAGTTTTCACTAAAATTTTCATACCATGAGGGGTCTCACCAAACGTGTTGTTGCTTTTGTAGCTTGTAGTTGCACATTACTTTTGTTGAGGTGGACCTTCCTATTTGTTGAAGTTTTTAACCCTACAGCTAAAGTGTTGTCGTCTATTCCAGTCCACAGATGTGGATAAACACTGTTCTCGCATTTTCTTCTGACGACAAATATACAGTTGGGCTGTTTTACAATATACATCTGTGCGGCAACCGCCCGGCTAAAACGAGTACACTTAATTGGCCCGGTACGACTCGGACACAACGGGAGTAAAAGCACATCAGCGACCAGAGAAAATTTGTCATCAGCCACACCATCTGTATCTTGAAACACAGTCGACAAGTATTATTCTACAGCAGGCTTTACAACACCCACCCGTTTAGAGCAACTGTTTTGGACCAGTTAAATTAGCCATCGCGATAGAACAGCTTTGTTGTGTACTTCAGGTTTTCACACTATCATTTTGTACTTGTATGTTCGGTTTTGCTGTGGTACTTCCCCACTGAAGGATGTGTGGCAGTATTCGTATCGTTGCGGCAGACCTACAGGGAGACTATCCACATAGCTGGTTTCCATTAAAACAGCTTGATAGACTGGCTTATGCTCAAACTGGAATACCAATCGATTGTGTGTATTTAGTTTTAAAAAAGGCATTGTGGTTTATATTTCTACTTTCTTCAGATGTGCATGATTTCAGTAACATCCATTAAATGAAACTGTTTGTCGCACATAAACTAAGCAACGGAGTTGAAGATAGTTTGACAAACTTCAGCATACCATATTCACAGAAGATCGAAATGCTGCACGAATCATTTCTACTAGTACACAAACTGTTCATGTTAGATAATCTGGTCTTTACCATTCGCTAAGACAATAACAGGTGCTTTAGTCGCCTAGGACGTGATTTTTTCACTGTCAATCAGTTGTTTAACTATCGTGTGAACAGATTTACGAAACTGGAAAACTGGTTAAAAAAAAGTACGACTACGCTGAACCGAAGTAACAAGCAGAATTTTGCTCCGATAGGGTTGAAATAACAAGAAAAACAACGGGACCAGAAACTGGTTCAAGCAGTTTGGCGTGACAGACAGGCTGGACTAAACTTCCGAAAGTTCCAGGTCACTTTGTGCACCGGCGATCGATTATTGACCCTGGTTTCCACATTTGTCATTAAAGTGGAAATCCTGAGGACACGTTTCCTTCACGCAACACTTTGCCGGTCAGCTGAGCCTCCATGGTAACTGATTAAAGGTTACTTCTATGAGAAATGTTGCCATGGATAGATCTATTTGCACAATCAGCCACATGTTCGAATGGGGATCCATAATCCCCGCGACGTTATTAAGCCGTACAGTTTTTCTTCACATAATTCAATCTTTGCCTAAAGTACAACCTTTAAATTTTAAACCACTCTGCCGAACCCATATAGAGATTGAAGGCAGAGGAAAATTCGGTACTGAGTGCGCAAACATGCAGTAATTTCAGGCAACATGTTATGGAGCTACAAAAAGGCTTGCAAGTAAAACACGAATTGAGAGGGCACTATGGCTACGCCCAACTTCAAAGTCGACCCTGAGGAAAGTAGCTATTATAGGGAAATGTTCTTGTTCCAAGCCCGTACTCGTTAGGGTACTGATCGAGAATGACTCCACCAATAACTCCTACTTATGAGGTGGGCTGACCTAGTGCTCACCTTGATCAAGTTGCAAATTTTTGGGTTTCAAAAAGATAACCTGTTAGCAGAAAAATGTGAGAAATGCCGCACAAGACCATATACAGCAGAATCTAATTAAGCAGTATTAGGAAAGTTGACTTTCAGTTTCTCTGAATACTCTCTGAAAAGATATAATAGAAAGGACATAGAAAACTTTTGTGTGTTGCTCCTAAGCAAACAACGCATTAAAAAAACCTCTCTGCCTTTAAAGTTGGCACAAATGGAGAAAACGGATTGAGTGAATCTGATCCAAACTTAGAAACAACGCTAGCACATCATGTGGACGGAACACATTGTGAAAAAGCGTCTCTGATGGCTTAACTGATCATTATACTCATCCTGTGACGGGAAAAACGGTTGACTCGCACCAGGCCATCATGATTACATTTCGACCTTTCTAGGGGTTGTTAAACTGTCATAATAAAAATGATTACCTCAGTAGACAGAAAATTCAAGACAAATTTTTACATTGTACACACCGAATGAAGCACAGCATTATGGCTACTTTCTAGAATGTTCATTTAGTTAATGTCTATTCAGATTTTACTGTGAATGGTAGACGTATCAGAACAACAAGCTTGTCCAAAGATGAACAGGCCTTCCGTGTATTTGAGGAAGTAGAGGGAGAGTCCAATAAGGAGTGCAGAACCATCCTGGCAAATGTACCCAAAAGTAGATCGGATCTATCAGGTAGGTGCAGCCCTGAGTTTCTGCCAACCGCATATTCTACTTGAACCCAAAATGCACGAAATTAGTGAGCCTAACTCATTTGCAAACCATTTTGGTTTTGCGGGAGACTCGCCTGAAATCTAGCTAAATCTCGCGTTTATCATGTTCTTAAGCGTTCCAGTTAGCGAAATGATCGTCACTGTGTGCTCAAGTGGCTTCAAATCTGTTGACATTTCGCCCATGTTAACAGGCTGGTTACACTGCAATTCTGAGCGATTGCTCTAAGGATCATATACGTACCCCTTGTTTAGGCTCCCACAGAGCTATTTCAGATTTGGAGACCTTTGACCACTGGATATATGTTGAACTCAGGGGATGGGCTTTATGTGGTTGATCACATTCTACCATATTCAACGTTCATATAGGAGACAGCGCAAAATTTCCCAGGCCTCTTTGTCTAAGCTAGGAACATCCCCCAGGCAAGTGAGGCCCCTCCAAACTGCACAGACACCTCAATTGAGCTGATAGGTATGCGAAAACGGAGCAAAGTCTCAATACTAGGGAAACTTCTCTTGACTTTCATGTAATAAAACCAAATTACCGGTTCATTCAATTACCATTGGCCCTACCTGGTATGATACGATGGTTGTCGATGTTTATCGAAGTTAACTTGCCAAGTAAAATTGCTAGCTTTTCTCCGTTGGTTCGATATGAAACAAGCAATTCAAAGACAAAAAATTGGTGGGTGTTTTATTGCTGCAACTGCGCTTGTGCCGGCTTTGAAGGCTACTGCTAACTCCAGTAAATCCACAAAACCATTGTTTGTAGCTGAGGGCGGTACATTGGATTTTGCGCTGGAGATCAGTCTCCAGCCAGTCAAAAAGTTCTTCTGGACTTGAAAATGAGTTTTACTAAAACTTTCTCAATTATTGTTTTTCATAAAGTATTACAAGTCTTAGAAAGTATTAAGCCCTCGGAAGTACACTTTCGGATGCTTTTAAAGACGCAGATCGTCAACAGCACCGGCAAAATTTTGTGCTCTTTTTACTCTTCTAGGGAGTTGCTTTTTATTTTTTAAGGTTTACGTGAACCCCGATGGCGAAGGCAAAACGGAGATACGATTGGGCTGGATAGTATCTATGGTCTGTTCTGTGTACATCGCTATGTCAAAGCTTTAGGCCATTAAGCCCCAATGACGCTGTTAATGGCTGTTATTCCACTGGTTATAAACATCGTCGAAAAATACTGACCACGGTATCCGAATGGTCGAATTTTAATGCCTCGTTGCACTACACTTCTTGACTTTAAACTTAAAAAAGCATCAAAAAACTATGCACTTTTAGATCGCCTCCGAATGCTTACCTGCAGTCCAATGCGCACAAAAGCCCAGAATTATCTTGTGCAAAATGCAATCTTTTTTAAAAAAAATTATGGCACACGTGATTGCCTCTGCAGTAAATTTGAAGTTCAGGTGAATAAGTCCTTCAAGTTGTTGCGCGGTTGAACAATTTTTCGAACGGGCTTTACGTAAACCCATCATGTCAGTGCACAGGGGCGATTCACTTTGCCTGGTTTAGTTCGGGTCGAAAATGACAGATGTTATCACAGCTTCTTATCGACAGAGCCAAGTAAGTTTATTCTATCCTGTCGACCGCCTGTAGCGTCTTGACTCCGTCCGAAACGACCTCGCGATTTTACTACGTATTGTTGATACCATTTGAATTGGTTTCGCTAAAAATGTGCGTCACCGGTTGAGGTGGGATTCAACGGGGAATTATGATGTTCAATTACGAACTGAATACAACTCCGAGTGATAGACACGTTGGTAGTGGATAGGCCTCCCGAATAACGTCATTCAGACTTAAAAGCTGGATCTTGATTGAAGCCACCAGATCCGTAGTTCTTCAGTTTGAACGTGTGTTTTGAATGTGACGGTTGTTTATCGAAGGTCATCTTCCCTTTTTGCGCAAATTGTTTTTGATCGGAGGTCTTGCGGAGGTGGAGAACAAGAAAGGATGTACACAACCGCCATGAGAGCTCAACGCAATAATTGTTATTTTTACGTGCCACTTGGATGACTAAGCACTACAAACTGATGTGGTTTGTGCTCCGGTCACGTGCTTTTGATGAAGATAGAATTTTCAATGAATTTCTTCGTCCTTATTAGGAAAACTTCTGCCAAAAAACCGGTGAACTTCGTTCAGTCATCTTACTCTTTACATCTCACTTTACATCTCACTTTACTCTTTACGTCTCACTCTTTACATTTCATTCCTTACAAACACACCTTACAGGAGCTTGCGGAAAACTTCCGGAAGCTTATCCTCTGTGGTCGTGAGCTTCATGATAAGACCCGGAACGATGAGCTAAGTTCAACTCTATGACCTATGTCAATTATAAGCATATCGATCGACAATTTGAACTTGGGGTGAACCAGCAGTCTTGTCTAATTGTGGATGCCCCATGAGATGATTCTATTATTAATACCATAATAATAACAATAGTATCGTTCATTTTTTAACAGCATGGTCACAACATCAAAGTAAATCCGGACAATGGTTGTGAAAGGGTGCACAGGAGAATATTAAATAAAACGATGCAGGCGTTTCATTTGAAGGCGTGCCAAGTACAGTTCCAGTCAGACGAAGTAAACCGGGCGGGAGCAGCCAGCGTAGGACAGTTGGGCGATTACTTTCATGCCAACATTTTAGTAAACGTGAACTCGATGGTGCGATACCAAGCTAACTTTCGATTTGCAGCGCTTGCCAAATTTCTCACACGTAAGCCCCACAAGTCTCTCCTGTGTGCTGGTTGGAACTGATGTAGAGGTACCAGACTGTAACCTGTCGAAAGTAACTGATGCGTTAAAACCAAAGAGAGTGGTTAGCCCTGTCTGGATTTGCTGAACTCTTATCTCATCCGGAATGACATCTGGGCTACCCAGTCGGCACCACCAGGAGGTGGTTCAGAAGTCCGACCATTTCTACTGATATTATTACCACGAAGAATATCACTAAGTCTTGATGTATTTCAGTATTAGGGATGAATTCAACATTTGTTTAAATCTAGCTTGCAAAGGTGTGTCAACCTAGGCCTGAAAGCCTGTAAAAATGTGCATCCACTAAGTCTCGTTAAACGTCATCAGCCATCACATCGTCCTCTACTCAGACCAGCTACAGTCCTCAACAAAATGAAAAACGTTTGGAACACGTCGAGAATCCATTGTTCAGAAAGACCTGGAAAAAAGCCGGTAGTCTTTAAATGGGAAAATTTTCGATTCTGACACAAGAGCTTCGTCATGCCAAGTGAGCAGGTTACCCAATCGACCAGGCATTAAGGCAGACGGATGACTACTCAGTAAGAACTCTTCAGATTAGCCCACTAGATCACTGTTGAACGTCAGCTAAATGAACCTATCAGTTGGTGCGGTTGTCTAAATCTTACAATGGATAGGTTGGGGAAATTTCAAAGTATTTTCCTACAGGTATTTTTGGTCGGTTCGGTCCATACACCTCAGAGCTAAGCTACTTCTGTTGATGATCCCTTTTTCTGCTAAGCGCATATCACCAAGTTTCAGTTTGACTGATCTCAAGCTGTTCTCTACACACTTGCCAGTTCTACGCCCCCTATCCCATTCACACTTCGGTGCTGGGCGATTTCCACCAAATCGACCATCGGTTTCTGTGTCGTGAACCGTAGTACCATCCTCAAACTTTTGTGTCCCGTGCCAGTACCTGTTCCGCCATCGCTAAGTCTTTCAATAGCGCTCGATATTTATCTGCGTTTCTTGCCTGCGTGTGCTGTGCGATTTTGGTGAGCAGTGTCCTGACCGCCCGTCCCATATGGACCTTAGTGCAGTCGTCGCATTTAATTTTGTACACACAGTCCCCGGTCCTGTTAGCTGAGAAGCGAACGTTCAGCTGCACCAGTGCACCTTCTGGAATGTTATCCCTATGTTAGCCGTGTTAAGAATCCTTCAGGTGACTTCGGATGTCTCTGGTTTATATGGCTTAACAGCAGTCCCAATCCATTCCCTTTTGGGGAATGGATGGTTCAAGTGGTTAGGGCGCGAATTTACTGAACCGAAGGTCCGTGGTTCGAACCCGACCTCTGCCTCTCGATTTCTCCTGTCTAGGCTTGGGCAACCTGGCAGTATCCCAGCCCTCGTGCTTCCTTCGGGTGGAATGGCAGCTAGGCACCGGAAGGGTGTTACAGCTGAACGATTTTTTTATCCAGTTTTGGGTTTCGTCACCGATACAATAATATACTACACTAATCTAAAGATGTCTTGTTGAGCGATTCTCCGACTGCCTTACTAGCTGGTCAACTTGGTAACTGAATCACTTGGCCTGGGGAGGCTTTTGTGTCAAAAGCGGAACGCTTCACAGTTGAACACTATGGATTACTTCCTAGCCTTTCTGAAACAGCTGTAGTCTTCCCTGAGAGACAGTTGAACTGAACTCATAGTGAGTGTAAACCACAGCCATGTGCCTCGGAAGAGTACTGTCGATGTCTTCGAATGAAATTTTACGTGTGCCAAACGCAGATGTGTCGACTACTGGCTTTTGTAGACGCGCACAAACTGCGGCGTTAGAAATGCAACTTCATTTAGCGACCGCAAAAATGCCAAAATACTTCAGTCAGTAGGCTACTGACAGCACATCAGGACATTTGTATTGGGAATCAAGGAGAATCCTAACTCTTTACGGGCTTAGCAACTTAGCTTACACAAAAGTCAGCATGTTGCAAAAATAAAGGGTTGCACGTTACATGTGTGAAACCGTAGCCGTGCCTTCACATTGGTAGAAATCACAATGAGTCAACGAGTAACGAATGGTTAGCGGGATTAAAGAGCACGTAGACACCGGAAAAAGCCGTCACTTACGTTCATACGTTCGGGTCTGAACTGAACTGAAATTAGGATGTGCATTGCGGTTCGGCTTATCGTGAAGCCGAAATTGATCCTGTCCCCTGTCAGCCTGTTGCGAGTTTGCGGCTCAGGTCTCGGTCCGCAAACTTTCAACAGTGTCAAGACCCGGTTGTTATAAGCAAGCTCGCCCTGCACATTCTTACAATGATCCACCCGACCCACTGTTTTTACGACAACTGCTTTGCTGTCTAACTGTTGCTATGACGGACGGTGATCAACAGCCCATGGGAGCGTAAACTGGTTCGGAAGTTACCATCCTTGTTAGCCATAAAATAAGATATAATGGCCTTAGCTGCCATACAATTTCCCTCTTGTTTTCGTCAACCGTATTCAAGAGTCAGCCGGTTTCTTGGTTAGTGGATTCTTAACAAATTAGAGGACATCGAGGCTGCTGTTCGCACAGTAGCAAACATGGTCATCCATTTGTTATGCTCACCCGTATCGACCTGCTTAGTCAAACCAAGCTTTTAAAATCGATTACAGTTTGAAGGAAACCACCGCAGCGTTGGGGATACGGATGGTTTGGACTTGGCCGCTTCCTTTGGAACCAAGATCTGAAGAATGCATCTCTTCGGGAAAAACCCTAATATCATTCGCAAAGGCACACTGAAACTGGTAAACGGTCGAAAAATCAATATCTAAAACAAATAAACGATCATACCTCCTTTTCAGTTTTCCTCCAGTTTATTGTTAAGCTTATCCTTGATTATAATTTAGCTGAGCGATATCTCGTCTCATAAATACTCTTTCTGTAATCTGACGGTCAAGCCCAACAATTCCGACGGGCACGTTCATCCGACTCGAAAAATTGTGTAACTTAGCCGTAACTTGGCCTAACAACCGACTTCATGAAAGAGCTAGGATATACGTGACAGGAGATGACTTTCCTATAAGTTTCCGGAGTATGCCTATTTCAATAAAATGCACGTCCTGACCTTTTAGATGTCTCGGAGTTTGTCCGATATCCGTGACACTCAGAGTACCTTTTTTCGGTCAATACTGCGTTGGCTGCCCCTGAAAGCTGCATCAGTTGAGACTCAGCTTGCCTTCCTCAATCATGAACTGAATTGTGCTCTCTTGGTAACTATGGCAACAGTCATGGTGACGGCTTGTCTTCTCTTTCCAGACGTGCAGACAGGAAAGCAATGATTTAGTTACCCGCTCCGAGATAAAAATATGATATGTCTAGGACGTTTTCAGTAATTTGTTGGCCAAAGCTGAAGCTTAGTTATTCCAAACGAATCCGAATGACAATTATGATAGTCGGGAATCAGAAACAAATTTTTATGTATAAAACAGATTTTACAGTATGGACGGAACGAGAAATCAAATATTCATAATTTAAAGTTTTGCAGCCTATTGTGATATCGATCATTTCACTGACAGCGAGATCAATCTGCCCAGTTGCCCAAGTAAGGTCATGGTGCCATGAACCAGATTTATTGTATTCCTATTGTTCCGCTAAGCACGCAGTAGAAAGCCACAGACTGCGAGACGTCAGGATTTTACTTCTGGCTTCGGGTAGCACAACTACAAAACTCAAAGGGAGTGAGGTCGCTCGTGATGATACACGACTAGTTGAATTCTGTGTTCTAATAGCTCAAAAAATTGATTACCCTCTTCGTTTCATCATTCAAACCCCTTAGGCTGGAGTCTTTTCCTGCAACTAAAATCGAAATTCTTTCAAAAGCCAGTCAAAACAGAGTTTTCTTTGTTGGTAGTCGTAAAAGACTCGTACCTCATACATCTCTCGGTGAATTAAAACTCACGCCTTCCGGTTAGTGGTTGAACACTTAGTTGTTCGACCACAAGTGTCTGATCAACAGTAGGGTTAACTAATGTTTAAAAAAGTTAAATTGCCATTAATCCGGTTTTCAGGTAGTTCGTGTCACATTTGTGTTGACTGACCCCTCAAATGATGATTAAATATAAGAATTCTTAGAAATCATCACTCAAGCAGCTCGTCAACATGGATCATTGACGTGAATCACACAATTCGAAAGGCTGTGTGATACTTCATACCAGGTTATTACATGGTACATTCTAGCGGTGTTTCCTTCCTTGGTACTACGTCTGCGCCACATCACCCTATGACGCTTCATCCCTAAAACACATCACTGCAAACCAATTGTTCTGGCAAAATTCTTTAAATTCTTTAAATTCTTTAAAATTCTTAAAGCTATACCCTGGATTGATCTACCGATCCAGTCCATAAAATTGAAGTGTTTGGTTTAAAACTTTAGACTTTTTGAAGCGATTGTTGGCAGCTCAGGTGGCACAGATCGTCTTTGGTTTCTTCGCTGATCTGGGCAAGTTGCTTGCAAACGTTTCATCACCAACCGGGGTGACACCATCAGTGCGTTGTTACGGAGCGTAGCAGAACTTAGCGATGGGTTGGTAAATGGGATGAGACGTATTATCCTACACGCATAAATCAGTGCCTCCCAACCATGAACTGAACTGCGCTCCCTTGGTAACTATGGCAACAGTCATGGTGACGGCTTGTCTTCTCTTTCCAGACGTGCAGACAGGAAAGCAATGATTTAGTTACCCGCTCCGAGATAAAAATATGATATGTCTAGGACGTTTTCAGTAATTTGTTGGCCAAAGCTGAAGCTTAGTTATTCCAAACGAATCCGAATGACAATTATGATAGTCGGGAATCAGAAACAAATTTTTATGTATAAAACAGATTTTACAGTATGGACGGAACGAGAAATCAAATATTCATAATTTAAAGTTTTGCAGCCTATTGTGATATCGATTATTTCGCTGACAGCGAGATCAATCTGCCCAGTTGCCCAAGTAAGGTCATGGTGCTATGAACCAGATTTATTGTATTCCTATTGTTCCGCCAAGCACGCAGTAGAAAGCCACAGACTGCGAGACGTCAGGATTTTACTTCTGGCTTCGGGTAGCACAACTACAAAACTCAAAGGGAGTGAGGTCGCTCGTGATGATACACGACTAGTTGAATTCTGTGTTCTAATAGCTCAAAAAATTGATTACCCTCTTCGTTTCATCATTCAAACCCCTTAGGCTGGAGTCTTTTCCTGCAACTAAAATCGAAATTCTTTCAAAAGCCAGTCAAAACAGAGTTTTCTTTGTTGGTAGTCGTAAAAGACTCGTACCTCATACATCTCTCGGTGAATTAAAACTCACGCCTTCCGGTTAGTGGTTGAACACTTAGTTGTTCGACCACAAGTGTCTGATCAACAGTAGGGTTAACTAATGTTTAAAAAAGTTAAATTGCCATTAATCCGGTTTTCAGGTAGTTCGTGTCACATTTGTGTTGACTGACCCCTCAAATGATGATTAAATATAAGAATTCTTAGAAATCATCACTCAAGCAGCTCGTCAACATGGATCATTGACGTGAATCACACAATTCGAAAGGCTGTGTGATACTTCATACCAGGTTATTACATGGTACATTCTAGCGGTGTTTCCTTCCTTGGTACTACGTCTGCGCCACATCACCCTATGACGCTTCATCCCTAAAACACATCACTGCAAACCAATTGTTCTGGCAAAATTCTTTAAATTCTTTAAATTCTTTAAAATTCTTAAAGCTATACCCTGGATTGATCTACCGATCCAGTCCATAAAATTGAAGTGTTTGGTTTAAAACTTTAGACTTTTTGAAGCGATTGTTGGCAGCTCAGGTGGCACAGATCGTCTTTGGTTTCTTCGCTGATCTGGGCAAGTTGCTTGCAAACGTTTCATCACCAACCGGGGTGACACCATCAGTGCGTTGTTACGGAGCGTAGCAGAACTTAGCGATGGGTTGGTAAATGGGATGAGACGTATTATCCTACACGCATAAATCAGTGCCTGGAAGACCATAGGGAACGTTAGAGCTCTCTCCTGTGCACTGCAACGCTACCTGGTATATTGCTTTGTTCTCTTCTAACCAAAATTGTCTCGGTACGTCGCGCACCTATAGTGTAAAAGAAGCATTTCTTTAGACAGCGTAGCCGATAATTTCGACTGTAATTTGGACTTTTATATAATAATTTATGAAGGGCTCCTGTACATGTAGTATGTAGAATAAGAATGGCACTTTCTGAAGTAATTCAAATATTGATCTCTCAATATTTGCTAAGCTAGGGAACGTGAATTCCATGATTCAAATCGAAACAGGTATAATAATCACATTAAAATGCTTGTTAATATCAGGTTCAAACCAAGCATCCAGTGAATTTCTATTATTTGATCACTAAGTCGGAAAATCAAAAGGATTCTGCACAGTTTTCTGGACTATAATGCAATTTTCATTCATCCAATCTTACAGGATTAGTTTGTGGAATCATTGCCTGCGTACTCCGGTTACAAGAAATTGGAATAACCCACGCTTATCAACATTAATTTTGGCAGGCGGCGAAAACGCATGCTTTTAATGAATAGTGCTTCATGGTGTCCCAAGAAAAACCCGTTTTAATGCACGGAACAACAGATGATCAGGTTTCTCAGTTTGTTAGATCCATCCATTTCAGAAGATGGAAACTGGATATGAATCGAAGAAATCTGTCATATCACTACTAATCCCCCGGTGATTGACTTATTTTCTACATTCACTTGGCAAAACCCTCATTTTGTTTCATTTGTTTATTTTCTGTTTGTTTGTTTTCCACGGTGTATACCCGAAAAGATAAAAACAAGTGCACCCGGTGTATCGTACAGCCCCTCGTTCTCCTGTGCTCCGTTCAACTGTCCAGTGTGCAAGTCTTCTGTCAGGTTCAATAAAAGTAGGTTGCCGCTTGTGCTATTTGGGCACAGAAATCGTTTCCTGTTGCGCAGAGGAAATATCTTGCTTTTCCACTCACGTTAATCTGGAAAATAACGAACTCTTTGCTTACAAGCTTTGTCTGACCACGCGCCTCGCCTTTGATTATGCCGGATGAAATGATAAACGCTATTGAAGCTCTATATCTGTGTGCCTGAAAGCAACCCTCGACAATCTAGGCGAAGCGTAGACCTCTAATTTCCAATACAAAAAGAACGTGGATGCCCCATAAGTTGAAGACACAAATAAACAGAGTAAAAATTTAAAAAAGCCTGTTAATAAGAAGTCCAGAACCTAGATCAATGAAATTCAGTAGAGTTGTCGATTTACTATGTGGTTACTCATCAGATTGAGGAACTGAACGAAGCCTAGAGGTAATCGGGAAATGAAGCAAAAACAAAAAAGTGCTACATATTGACATAAACCGGTGTGCAGGAAAATGTAACAGGATCTGGGGAATTCAGCAGGCAGTACGACCAGCTCGGACCAGGTATGAGTCACTCAAGGATCAGTTATCAGAGTGGCTTTACTCTTCAAGACTTAGGCGAGAAAACAGGGTCAAGACTTCGAGCACCAGGAACCGCATTGTTTCACACACACACAGAAAAAGAGTACAGGCCATACATTGTCGTACACATTGCTTTAAACTACCGTGTACTGATGATCGAATGATCTATTCTGTCCTGGTGTTCAGCTTATTCACTGACACACAGGCCCTTGAACATAGGCCTACCTGCTCAATGCACGGCTGACAAACAAAAGCAAGCTGATGGATACAACAAGTTTAAACTGAGTGACTTTTTTCAGGAAGGGGTGTTTGGAAGCGCACACTATGGTGAACCATTAGGAAGATATCTTTGTAATGTACTACTCATAAGGTTGCTGAAAATCCGTCGACAGCCCAGCAACCTTATGAGTAGTGCATTACAAAGATATACATGTATCGCGGTATCTCGAATATCGTAGCGCCTGAAACATGAGGCGGCCTGGTGCAGCACATTCAGTTGCCTGAGAACATCACAAACGAGAAATGCAGCTGGGTTCCAGGTGAGTCTCTCAAAAAATCAAATTAGTTTGCAAATGAGTGTATATTCGCTAAATTCATTAGGCAGATACTTTTAACGTCATGTGCAGCATGATCATTTGACCGATTTTAAGTACGATTTCCAGAATTGTTTCTCTTAGGCTTTGGTGTACTATATATGAGTTATCTAGGTATGCGATGTCTCAGGATTTGGTGTCTGGGGTGAAATATCGCAGTGAGCCGAACGAGGTATTGTGCTGTCCCACAATGTCCATCCGAGATACGTTTTTCACGATTCCACGTAGAACCTAGCAATGAAGTGATCGATCATCTATTGCAGGTACTCGGGAACCTACACTTCTGGGTGGAATTTAATGTTATTGCTAATCAGCTATTCATGGTCAACTGATATATTGTCCAACTGTAAACCAAAGGACGCGATTTCGGATATGCTTTCAGGTTCGTTGGATGCATACGGTTGATGGCTCTAAAGGAGATCGGGGGACAGGTGTACAGTTCTTCTCGACCCTTTAACCAGGATCTGTCCTACTCGCCGGCTAAGGTCTCATTTTACTTACTACTCAAAAACACAAATCGGGTTAAAAAAGATACTAGGAATGAGTTTGATAATGCCAGTGATACATTACCGCCACTGCTCATAGGCCTGGTTGATCTGTTCGCTCTGTGAAGTGTTTTTGCCGCTCATTTGAACGTGTGCCAGGCAGCGTTTTCAGTTTGATTCAAATTCTACTTTCCGCCACTTCGTTTTCTTGTAAAATCCTGCAATATATTGACCAGTTCTTTCAACATAACTGCGGAAAACTACTATCTATACAGTGTTGTAGTGGGTTGTTTAAACTGATGGTGGTTATGTAAACACTGTGTCCGAAATAAAAATCAAATCCGTCGCAGACTGATATCGTAAAAAGTACTCCCAAGTTACTAGTGTGTGAAGGTGACTGAATGGTTCGTTAATCCGTCCATGCCGAACTATTGTTTGTTGGTTCCCGCAGTTCAAGCATAAAATTAGCTGCGTTGAGATTGGGTTGCTGTGACAATGTCATGCTTGGAAAAGCTTACTTCCTGTTCCCAGTGGGTGGTAATAAATAGAAAAACAAAAGTGATAATAACACGGCAACCTATTTGGGAACGTAGAATGGTTCCCAAGCTTACAACGTCTCGTATAATTGGTGTGCCTCAAATGAGCAGATCCTCTGGAGAGGCATTTTCATCGCCAGAGATATAAAACCAGAGATATATAAGAGCTTACATGAGGATCTGTCCATTAGGAACAGATTTAAAAGCGGTTATCGTGACCCTTATTTTAGCTGAATTCTCGCCTGGTCATAATCGTGCATCTGTATTCGCGGACGTTCCGTAGGCCACCTCAGTCAAAATGTTTTCCATTGCCCAATGTAGTTAAGGGCCAGAACCTTTGCGCTAACCGCACTGGGCTTTACACCCGGATATTGAGTCCTCACAGTAAACTCTCAATAGGTCATACGAAATAATGAATTGCCCGATCCTGCTTGTACGCCAACTGTGTGTGACATAATCATTATCTGCAACTGGCTGCTCTCAGCTTTCATCTTGCATAAACCGGTCTCAAAAGGCATCTTGCTGCTCGGATATTCTGCCCTCTACAACCACATATTATTTTCCGATATGATTTAGTTATGGAACTGCACTGACCACAGGTTCACCAGTTGTTACGAATGAAACGGCCTGGATGCCTAATTGGCAGCAAATTTAAAAAAATTCATTCCTTCGTGCCTTTCGTGAAGAACAGTCAGACTGCATGTCTCCTTCTTGTTGTTCATTTTCAGAGAAAGTTGACTGACGGCTTCATCACTGAAGGAGATACCGCATCAAATTTTCAAAGTGGGGTGTTGTTCACAACGTTTTATCTTACCATCTTAGTCTTCCTTTCGATTAATTACTCCAGATTTTGTAAAAAAAAACTGGTTCAACATGGTCAGGGTGACTAAAAGCAAGCATCCAGCAACTTTTCCGCACGATTCTTCAAGCACCTTTTGCAGGTGCGCACTATAATAGCCCGCTTTTTCTTCTTGAGCAGATATGTCAACTATCTAATAATCGATGGATCGTCCAAGCTATAGAAGAGTAATCAACACTTTTATTGGCTCTCGCCTATTCAGTTACCACAAACGTTTTGTTTTCGTAAAATCCTGCTAAACTGAAGAGCATTTCAAAAACAAAAAAATGGCAATTATTAGGCACTGCGTGAATTCCACGTTGTCAACATCAGTCCACATTACATTCTATACGTGTTTTACCGAAAGTGGTTTTTGGTGATATCCCAGGCCACGTTATTCGTCGCGGTATTTTCATTCAGCAAAAGCCTTTTTCTTCGCGTTACTGGAAGTGATGACCTCGACTGCTTAGGGTGGCGATGAACGCTTAAATCTGTATGAATAACAACAAGCATGTCTAGTGTAGTGTTTCCCTATTGAGGGTGAACTCATACCATGTCAAATTCCTACAGTTGAAAAAAACGCAACTTTGAGGCATCTGATGCATCCAGATTACCATTTTGACAAAAACGTAGTCCTTCTGGAGATTATTTGTGGAAAGGTGCGAGCGACATGCAGGCCCCATCAAAAGGGGTACGTTGATCATAAAATTATTCTTTCCAACCCTAGTTTAGTGCATCGAGATAGTTACGCTCACTCTGGAGTGGTGCAAACTCCTTTCAAAAACAAAGTGTACGGAATAGTAACGATTCATTATCGAGCCACCTCAAACTCAAGGGGGGTTACCACAGGTTGCCAGGATCATTCAGCGAAGCAGACTAGTCAGTTTCCACTCGATTTCGTGAAATGATCGCGTCAGTTATTTGGCAAATTTGGCAGAATAGCAGATGTTCCGATGCTAATTCACTTTTGTATTTAATTTTTTAGCATATGAACCCAATTCTTCTAAAGCAGCCATGTTGATTCTAGGTAGTGGTGGCTGTTTAATTGGGGGAGCCGGTAACTTGGAAGTCCTTGGAAGTCCAGACACAACCAGGACCATTGCTGGATCGTCGTTTGAGGCAAGCCAATCACATTCGTCTTTTTAGACGTAAAAACTAAGGTGTCCAGCGTACACTGATGAAGCGTCAGATGCCTGGAGTTCAAACTCTGGCACTGCAAAGGTCATGCACTGCTGACGAGCGAAATTCGAATCCAGTACACCCCCTGTTTAGTGTGGACTAACAAGAATAATTGAGTCGGGACGAGAAAATGACTGCATTTCAGAGCAACGTATATTTCGGTCTTCTAAAAGGTGGACAGACACTACATATGGCCGTCTTTGAATTTCAGTCACACTGGGCATGTTTGACACAACCAGTATGGTAAACGGGCATTAGCAATTTACAACTAACCGTACTTAAACCACAGGTTTCTCCAACGCCTCAAACTGCAAGCATTTTAGAGACGAAAGCCAGTTGTTCCTATCTTATTTTGACCAACCAACTATTCGCCAATCACTGGTATATAGCCGTCTTTTCGTCCTAGCAACAGTTTTGCATCTTAGCTGTTTAATGGCTTTAACAATCTTGACAAAGGGTTTCTTGTACACAACTTCGTATACACACAGTGGTTGATATGAAGTATATGTGACCGTCGATTGTTCCTCGTGCCTTCAGTTTTCATCATATAAGTCGGGGGAGTAACAGAACGCAATCAGTGCAGCAGTGGCATGCCGCTGGTATTTGTCCAATCTATGCCATTATTATGACGGATCGCCTTGTTTGTAGGCATACTCACGGAATAGTTTGTGTACGATTTATGATACCAAATACCCACACCCGTTAACTTCGCTGAATAGACCGCGCTTGAACTTGAAAACTAGAAATGTGCTTCACTGGCGAAACTTGGAACCACAATCTTATTCGTAATAAATCCTGATTGTACCCATGTACCAAGCACTGCACGACGTTGCGGACCAAATAGTTTCGATCCGTTGCTACCTGTGCTAGATAAACTGAGCAAGATATGAACAACACCGGTGAGGACATTCGTTGGACTGAAAACTGACGAATCTTGCGTTAACAATTCGGTACGTTACACATGCCTCCATTTCTGCAAATGGAACACAGGTAACCGGAGAAGATGTGGTCAGATGTAGCAAATGGTAACATGGTAACATGGATGAATGGAGCAGAATCACACTGTTGACATTGTAAGTTTACACACAGCTTAACTCGCCAGGCAAGCTCCACCGTTTATTCAAAGAGTTGAAAATTCTTCATTATTCATCACTTAGGAAATTTTGAGTGGTCTTCCAAGGTTATCCATCATCAATCTAACCCATGTGTGCCTTAAATGCGTCTCCGCTGTTGAATAGCTTATTCCCACTCCATACAAACTTCGTCAGTCTTAGATTTTTTCAAACGGTTGAAACCGCTTAAAAAACGTCCAATCGTGTAATTTGCCAGACCGATCATGATCTTTTCAACCAGAGAGTAAGAATCAGAGCACCATTACGTTGAAATTTCTCATCTATTCGTTTTCCTCTTAGTGTAAAAACGAAACAAGTGGACCTGTGTTTTAAGCGTTTTCCGCTTGATTTGATTGTCTGCTTTGAAGTCCCTCAAAAATGGCAAATGCATAAGCCAGACTCATTTATTGTTGAAGGTTCAGTGGATCACTTCTTCGTCCTAGCAACAAATCAAGTTATCCCGAATCTCCGGTAGAAATGCTCTAGTTTCCACCTATTAATATTCGGTAGCTTTCGTTTCCTGGTGTTACCCTATGTGATTTTCCTTTGTTCCCATCTAAGCAGCGTGCATTCAGCAGGACTTTCACAAAGTCTATGTATTCCAAACGTGGAAACTCTTCCAAAAAATTCGGGTGCCCNAAACGTGGAAACCTTCCAAAAAATTCGGGTGCCCGCGTTTAGCTTTTGAGACCAATTCAACTGCTACTTAATCGCTATCCAACTGGGTACCACACCATGAACCTTATGGACTTAGACAAGATCGTTTTGAGGCCACCTAACTAATTCCATAGGGACAGTAAGCAG